GCAACGCCACAACCTACGTGAGTATTGTTGCTGACCATGTCCATCCCTTTATGACCACAATGTACCCAACTTCTGATGGCTACTTTCAGCAGGATAATGCGCCATGTCATAAAGCTGGAATCATCTCAGACTGGTTTCTTGAACATGACAATTAGTTCACTGTACTCAAATGGCCTCCACAGTCACCAGATCTCAATCCAATAGAGCATCTTTGGGATGTGGCGGAACGGGAGATTTGCATCATGGATGTGCAGCCGACAAATCTGCGGCAACTGTGTGATGCCATCATGTCAATATGGACCAAACTCCCTGAGGGATATATATATATATATATATATATATATACACACACACATTTTTTTTTCAATCATGGAAAAGATTATGATATGCCATTATGATATGATGTTGCCAATAAATAGAGCACTGGAATGACATCCTAGCAGAGATGGGGACTCGAGTTTGTGACTCGTACTCGAGTCGCACTTAAGTCGCATATTTAATGACTTCAGACTCGACTTGGACTTGCATTTGAAGGACTTCAGACTCGACTGAGACTCGTGATTTCCGACTTGTGAACAATATTTTATTCCAGTGTAAAAACACTTATTCAAGTGTTTTTTGTTTTACTAACTTGACTGATCGCCGCTCGCCTTACCCGCACACAGAAGAGGTAAAAAAAAAAAGTAGCACTTGTGGCCAGTATGGCCCCACACTCAGTGGGGGAGCAAACACCTCAAAGACCCAAACCGTGAAGCACTCAAGTTCAAGTGTTTTATTTATACAAAAAGCCACAGCAAAAGTGGCATGATAAAACAGTCCTTTTCTTCTCCTGATAAAACCTAAAATTCAACCGCCAGCATCCACGCGTCAAAACCCCGTCGGAAGATATATTCCTGTTTATGCTTTAAGCGAGGGGGAGCGCTACTTACAGGCGAGGTTCCTCCTCTGCCCTAATACTCCTTACTCCATCTGTGCGCACGGATCCCGCCTGCCTCTCCCCCCGGCAGCGCGTCAGTCTCTGTCACCTGCAGATTCCGTTCTCTTTCTCTTCTTATTCTTCTTCTTGTTGTGTTTATTGCCGGTTGGCAAC